CCCCTCATATCTCCAATACCGGCAGGTGCCGTGGAAGGATTTATTTTATATATATATATATATATATATCAGATGCAGGAGCATTCCACTGACATGCTCAGGCAGGCGCACCCTAAGCCACGGAAGTTTGCAAAGTCTCTGCGAAACGAAAGGAGTTTCAAGTGAGACTTTTCAAAACGGCTCTCATTAATGGCAAGAACTTGCGAAACTTACCGGCAAAAGCAGCGAGCAATTAATTCTTTGAAAGGATCTCTAGCACTACTTAACTCCTTCTATAAGTTCAGGAAGGGCATCGATCGTCTCATTTCCTCATCACCATGCAAATGAAACATTGCACATCGCAGATGACTACGTGCAGGTGCCAGGCACGTCGAGTTACGTGAAGACTGTCGTCACCACCACGAAGACTTGGAACCTGGCCGAGGCAGACTGCGAGGCAGACGGTGGCCGACTGGCCGTGGACACCAACCAGCCGATCCACGACCACATGACCCAGATGATCTTGCGTCTCGGGATCTATTCGGACATCCCGGGAGGCACTGGATACTTCTGGATCGGCGGGCGGAGCACGATCGACCAATATCACTGGAGACTTCTCGACGGTGAGTTCAGGTTGAGAGCATATGAAGGCAAATGGGATCGATTAATTGGGTGAACGTTATTTTCCTGCTTTCAAGTTTTTGGGTACGTTCATGCAACAACATGATCTCGGTCTGCAAAAGTAGTTCATCTATGATTTCATTCTGGGCCATGCTTTCAGCCGGATTTTCAAATCATGTTGAATCTCTCGAATTTATCATTCGAAGGAATGCAACACGAAAGGAAAATTACGATTCGCGATCGGTTCGCGATGATGTTCCCGGTACTAATCTGCAGCGGAATCCGAATTTTCGCCACGTTGGTTATGTTCCCTGGAATGGACGAGAAGAGATTTTTCACTATCCGTCCGCAGGAAAGAAGAAGCACGCATGGAATATTTTCGTTTCCCTGCAATTTTCCGGTAAATAACAGCGCTTTCTGCGGCACACCGCTGAAAACTCCTCTCGCAATTCTCCCGAATGAAGATGATGAGCGGCGAACCCCTTCTCACTCTCACAGTGAGAAGGGGTTGGAGGGTTTTGAATGCTTTTTAGTCATACCAGGAACACCTAATTACCTTTTAAAACTGAAATATACAAGTGAAATTTAAAATTTCCGGATACTGATCAGAAGTTGCGCTCATGTGCAGAAAAATGGTCATTTGAAACATCAGTTATCTGGCCCTGGTGTCGGAAGGAGGTCAATAATCTAAAACATGGATTATTATATTTCAACTCACTTGTTATGTCTATTTCAGAGTCAATATCATTCAATATTTGCAGGAATTGTTGAATCGCATGCTTTTGACGTTGCACATCGACGATTTCATCGCGCTCGTGGTACGCCAACGTGCACGTTCCATTTCCGTAGGCACTCTCCTCAATTACACCGAGAAGGGCGAAGGACTGTTCCACACGAATGAACCCTTTCTCGACGGAGGATGTCTGATGATCGCCGTCTTCAAGGCCCCGGACTCCACCTGCTGCAGCGGCCGCTGGGCGGATAACTACTGCTCCATTACCAAGTGGAGCTCCGGATATTTCTGCGAGATCCGGCTCCCGGCCTGAGTCGATTCTGAGGTCGACACGCCGGAACTCAGATAGGGTTGGCTGTCCCAGGAAGAGATTCATCACGCTTTGGTGTTTCTAAAGTCACAATTTAGCACATGGATTTGCCGAGTTTCCAAGCATTTTGCACGAAGTGATATCAATATTATTAATGAAGTAATACAATGAATAATTTCACAACATATTTTGGAACCCATATGAAGATTTATGAAGGAAGATGTTATTTTAAAATTATCACGCGTTTTTGCCTGGAGTTCAACATTTTCAGAATCGATGTCGATATGTGTCTAATATGTTACATTGTGAATAGTGTATTCAGAGAGTGCTGCACAAAGCAGAACTTCGCCTTAGAGTCAAAGTGAGTTTGTGCCGTTTCGTTCGATTTCTTTCGTTGAAATTTCTGTAGTACGGAAGGGATTATCTTCATCTGCCTCTATCGGGTTTCTGGTTCTACCGTGTCGTCCTGTTCTGTCCTATCAGTTTTCTTCGTGAAATGTGAGAAATCCAGTGCGACATTGTTCACGTCTTTCGCTAATATTCGGTTCAGCACACGTCCTAAAGTAAATTGTGAATGGGAGTTTTGAAAAAAAAAATTGGGTTGCACATCGAATAACAAAAGGCAGATCGCATAAGTACGCCCAAAGCACATTTTCAATGGCTCTGAAAATGGAATTATTCTGAAATTCATTGGGAATTGACATCATTCAAGATTTGAAGTGTGCTTCGTTATAAATATTAGAGAACATTATAATGCTCCTGTGCTGTCATTTGGCTTTATGCAGCAGGTTTCATTTCTTTTTGGTCAATTTGGTCTTTAAACGAACGGGTACGATGTGGCCCGAGCACATCTCAGTTGATCCTTGTTGATTAGCGACTATTAACCGTCAAGCACAGAAGCCATGGCTGGGCCATTATTGCCAGGTGGCTTACATCATGCAGCGAATCTCGATGGCCGGCATGTCGGGTTTCACGATTTTCTCTTGTTCCCCTCCCCCACAATGCAATTATGTGCTGGTCATTCAAGGACGAAACCATGATGGGAAATCGAACACGTGGGGCCCATTATATGCCCATTATATGCCGTAGGGCCCATTATATAGGAAATCTCCACCCCCTTCGCTTATCGCAGATGGCTTCACCACTTGCGAGAATCAGGGTCGCGTCTGGCGCGCCGCAATAATCTCCCTTTAAGGATGATGCACGGTTGTGGATCCGTGCCGATATTCACCTCTATATATATATTTTTTTTTAAACCAGATATTCCTTACAAACAGTGGAGGGTGAAGATGCTGCATGCCGAAGGAAACGAAGTGCTCTGTTGTCGTTGAAGGAATCACCATGATCCTCAGAGACTACACGTTTCATTTAAAGCATTGGAAGCGACCCATGAATGTCCTTGGGAACATTTCATTGACTGCTTGGGAACGTTCTAATGACTGCTTAAATTTCCAAAATGTATAGCGATAAAAAAAAGTTCGAATTCTGCGTTCTCTGAACGACGCCAATTCACCAAGGTCGTGAATGGGATATTTCAAAGAAAGGGCTTCAATGAACTTTCTTTTTCAGGGTTTCTGCAATATGCAGTCCAGGGGCCTTTTTCACGAAACTTCTTTAACTTTTCTTTAAGTTTCTTTCGGCTATATTTCGACTTTATCTCGACTCAAAATAAAGAAAAAATAAAGTCACCTTTGGAGGTCTCTCAATCTCGACTTTAACCTCTCTGAGGGCTACGGAAACCCTGCCCACCTGCGTGTATTCTTGATAACATGCCCCAAGCGATGAATGTGCATTCCTCCTGCCACTTGTGGCTTACTCCTCTCCGTGTTAACACGACCATGGCTGCAAGGCTTCATCTAATTCGGAGGCAGCTTCGTCGGAAAGTAAAGATAAAGTAAAGATAAAGTAAAGATAAAGTAAAGATAAAGTAAAGATAAAGTAAAGATAAAGTAAAGATAAAGTAAAGATAAAGTAAAGTTAAAGTAAAGTTAAAGTAAAGTTAAAGTAAAGTTAAAATTAAAGAAAAGTTAAAGAAAAGTTAAAGAAGTTTCGTGAAAAAGGTCCCAGGTCTCGGATACATTTTTTTGTCATCACTTAAATTGCATTCTGTCGAAATGAAGCCCAGCCCCCGAGGATGAAGTCTAAGGCCATCATCTACGCGATTAGCTTCGCTAGAAGTACCATCTTCCCTTCTCTGGAACAGCCTGGTGGAGAAACGTGTGTCAATCCGTTTTTTTTTAAATCCGAACTTCCATCATATCTGCAGTCATCTCACAGTTAGAGTCAGACACGCCCTGCACCTAATTCTCTGTTCAAAGGAGCGAAAATAGAAACTACCGTCTATTCCGATTCGTTCTCCTTCCGATGAAATAATCTTGGAAATCGAACCATCCTCCCACTATCTGGGAGGATGGTGAGTTTCCTGGAGACTCCTTCGACTGGGTTATATCTAGAGTCCAATTTGTTGAAGAGGTCAAGTATATTCCAGGGACTGATTCAGGCCAGGGGAATAGTTCCAGCTGTATTAGGAATCGATCCACTATAGTGGCTACTTTGGCGTCATCTAGCGTCGATTGGGCGAATGTTTGGTTCAAGCAATTGTTAGACGGATGGCAGAGATATGCTTGAGGAAAACATAAATTTAATCGTAAAGGATTTTCTTTCAGAAACGGGATGCTTGGTGATCAAAAGGTACCTTAACTGAGGGGACAAATAGTGCTCATCCGTGTGCATTGGACGTCCAAGAACCTCTTTGAACACACTTTGAATGTCCTCGAGAGCGTTCATAAGCGCAATGCCATATATTTGCAGCCTGCCGGTCTTATTTCACCCGTGATTTTTTCTGGCAAACGCTCCTGCGAATGGAGCATTGTGTAAAGAAAGGTAAAAACATTGTTTAGTAAAATCTCAGAACCGAAACGGCAATGCGACACCTACTGCGTCGATGTCAGTTGTCAAAGCCCATTTCACGTATCATTCCGCGTGGCACCTCGGCACGTCAACGGAGCATTGTGCCCCAAAAGCAAAACAATTACCCCACATTCTACGCGGGGTTGGAGGTCGAAAGCGGCATCCGACGTGGAGCATGCCTCCCAGCCCTGGCGAGACTCTTTTCTTCCCTTGTTAATCTCCAACTCGCCCTCTCGGCGCCGGCGCACAGGCGCGGGGAAGATGGAACCACGGGAAATGAACCGACCGAATCCGGAGGGAGTCCCCCAGTCTCGGAAACATCGACGGCTGGCACCGTTCATCTGTGAATACGGATGGAAAACGACAGGGAACATGCAGCATGAAGCCCATACACGATTCGGGATTCACTTTTTTAATGCTGGGAGCTTCCTTCTCCCAAAGATTTTACTTTCACTTTTTATTTCCATCTACCGATGCGACTGCGATGCGGGAAAACTCTGAGGAACTCTCGCGCTCGTCGGCTTCCATGCGTCGTTCGTAAGCGCATTCAAATCGCTGATGATGCAAGCAGCGACGAAAGACCACGTCATCCTGCGATTCTAAACTTCAGCATTTTAAGAGATTCAGAAGAAACTGCTGCCATGAACTTCGTGAAGCCGTGCGAACGCAAGCGACGAGGAACTCACGAATCGCCCCGTATTTCAACACGGCCGCCTCGAAATTCCTGGATTCGCGGGAGCGAGCGAAGTGAGAGGTTTTCCGCGTTTTTCCGCGTTTCGCTCGGCCTATCCAGCGGTAGGGATCGCGTCCGCTATATGTTTAACCTACGGTTTCCGGTTCACAAAAGTGAAAACAATATTTTCTTCAAATATTACTTACATTTCAGCAAAATATCTTCATGAAAGCTAAGATTTTTGTTGATGTCGTCAGAAATCGCGCAAAACTCCATTTCCCCCGACGTTGTAGAAAGCTATCACAACTAGTTCAAATGAGGCGAGGTTCTTCGATGCAACAGAACTGAAAGACCGCAATTTTCTTCCTTTCAGCACACGCGGGAGCAACGGGAAATGAAGAGGCACCAGAATCGAGGAATATTTATGATACGATAGAGGAAGGCCTGGAGTTTATCTATGAGGGAATCGGTGAGGCGAGGCTCTATGAAGGTTTTGGACGTACTTCCATTCCTCAATAAGGAATCGAATGTCGATGCATTCATCCCGTCGAAACGGTTTTCGGGCATGATCGTCTAATAGAAACCTTCCTCAAGAGATGCCGACTCCAGGAGTCTCAAGAGATCCGCACGGAATCGTATCCGACGGGACGGGACTCGATGAAGCCACGAACTGCAATTCCGAAATTGGGTGGTGGTCTGAACCGTTTGTGATGCAGTTCTGGAACGTTCTTGTACTCACTTGTACGGTATTTCATGAATTGAGTAGACCAGAGTTCAGAAGAAATTTACTCGTGCCAATACATCCTTCTTGTCTTTCTTTCTCGAGAAAGGAACAATATTGCATTTGAAAACGAATGCAACGATCTTTCAATCTGTGTCAGTAAAAAGTAATTCAAAGAAGCAGTGCTATCGTATCACATGCTAAATTAAAATTGTTAGCATGATGACATGGTACGAGTTTTTCGAATGAGTTCATAAAGGTGCTCCGAAATTGAACTTTCCACCTTGCTCTCTAGCTCTTCCAGTGGAGTGAACGGACAGGAAAGCAAAAGAGAGAGGTGCGCATCATCCGAACGAAAAGTTTCCCTATTCAACTAAAGGGAAAAAAAGGAAGAAATCAGTTTTGTGGATTCAGTCTTTGTCGCTTGTTTCCTCGAACGCCTTCTTGAAGCCGATGTATGGCTAAGGTCTAGCTACTGCTGACCCAAACACGAACAAAATACATTTAGCGAGATTTCCGGTGCAATAGAAAATGAAAAAAGCCAAAGTGCGGATGTTGTTATTTGCAATAATTTGGAATTGCCGTAATGATGTCATGCTTTGTAGTCGGAGTATTGTCTAATTTTAATTGCACGACCTTCCCCTAGAATCTAAAATCTAGGTTCTAGATCGTTAGCTTAGACACGAAAAATAGAAGATCTCATGACCGAGCCCTGAGAGACACCACTTGCAAGTGAAACTGCCGTCGACACCTCTCCATTAACAATTACATGTTGCCTTTTCCCGACGACCCGTTACTAATCCGGTTACGCACTTTCTCTTGAGGAACGGTATCGAAAGCTTTCTAAGAATATAAAAATGCAATGATAACAGGATTCACCTCGTCCCTT